CTGTCCCTTGACACGTCCAAACCAATATACTCACTGTCCCTTATCTGGACATGTCAAAACCAATATACATACTGTCCCTTGACACGTCCAAACCAATATACTCACTGTCCCTTATCTGGACATGTCAAAACCAATATACATACTGTCCCTTGACACGTCCAAACCAATATACTCACTGTCCCTTATCTGGACATGTCAAAACCAATATACATACTGTCCCTTGACACGTCCAAACCAATATACTCACTGTCCCTTATCTGGACATGTCAAAACCAATATACATACTGTCCCTTGACACGTCCAAACCAATATACTCACTGTCCCTTATCTGGACATGTCAAAACCAATATACATACTGTCCCTTGACACGTCCAAACCAATATACTCACTGTCCCTTATCTGGACATGTCCAAACCAATATACCCACTGTCCCTTATCTGGACATGTCAAAACCAATATACATACTGTCCCTTGACACGTCCAAACCAATATACTCACTGTCCCTTATCTGGACATGTCCAAACCAATATACCCACTGTCCCTCCTCTGGACATGTCCAAACCAATATACCCACTGTCCCTTGACTCATCCAAACCAATATACCCACTGTCACTAATACCCATCTCAGACTGGTCTCTCTAACGTTATCTCCCAGTCCTTCAGCCTGTCCTGTACCTCAGTCTTCCCAAGAAGAACCTCTACATATTCACCTCTTTCACTTCCTTTTCTGTCTTCTGTGTTTTTGTCCATGTCTCTGTCTCCAAACCATACAATATAGCTGGTCTTACTACAAAAAGTTTACTTTATTATCACTAACAAATGTTTGTGATTGTCTCCTTTTGTTTGGAGGCGGGGAACACAGCTCTCCACCTGGCATGCCAAAATGGTCACACTCAGAGTGTCAAGGTTCTGCTCCTGGGAGGCTCTCGACCTGACAGCAAGAACCATGTAAGTCTTAAACAAAGTTCTGTGTSTTGCCAGCAGTTATTCTGATTTGTCGTCACAATGTCTCTCTCTGACAGGGGTTAAAGATACAGTCWTTAATTGGTCCATGTTAAGGTTTTGTCTAAGCAGAAAAAAAATCTTTGATTTAAAYATCTGTTTTTAAACARCTGTGTGCTTTGGTGGGTCTGGTTCTTTATTTCTGTGCATGGATGTACCTCAGGGCTCCGTACAAGGTCCAGCATGATTTCAAATATACATACTGTAAATAACATTACCCCAGCTGCTGGTGGTTTGAACATCCACATGTACGCTGATGATACCATTTTGTATACATGAAGCTAATCTCTGAGGGCTGCCTTGACTTCCTTTCAGCAACAGTCTTCAATTCTGACTTCTTAAGTAATTATAACTTTGTCCATGAATCAGCAGGGATTTATGTGACATTGTGCTTGATCAGTGTTTGTTTTTCTCCAGGTGGGTGACACATGTCTGCATGTAGCAGCTCGCTACAACCATGTGACCGTGGTTCAGGTCTTACTTAGAACCTTCTGCTCAGTATCAGAGAAGAACATGGTGAGTCCACTCAGTTGAACCACCATCTTTCACTGCTTTATTGGAACCGCAGCAGCTTGATTTTGTCACCTTTGCCAGTCCGTTATATAATTTTCTAAAAAGAAAAGACAGTTGATCTGATTTTGTATAATTTGTATTATTAGACACGTCATTTTTTGTGGAAGATTTTTTTTTTTATTTCAGGTGGATTTTATTTTCCAACAACTTATTTTTCCAGAGAACTGAAAAACATGGTTACATGACCTAATATCAAAATAGTATCATCTGTCGAATATCGTAGAGGGTGCCTGATAAAAGTGGTCAACGTTCTGTTGTGTCTTTCTTCCATCCATCCATTATACTGAATGTCACACATTATTCATAGATTGGAGAACATTTAAACGGTTCTCTTGCGAGTTGAGTCGGGTTTGTGGAGTATTTACTCAGAGGGTCTCACCTGCCGCCCGATGGCTCTGCAGAGTTGTTAAATCCCTTAGGAAGTGCACGGTCACTCCAGATCAGCTCCAGTCCTGGGCTACTGGGTCCTAACTTTATGGGAGGTGCATAGTGGAGTCAGCTGTTCCAGTTGGAGACAGTCTGTTGATTTGTAGGTACCATGTAAGGTGTAGTGGAATATGACTGGCATATTCCGGTGAGTATAGGCCTACTGTATGAGTAGAACTCAGCCAGAAACATGGTGTTTGTCATGGGCTGTGCTTCATAGAGAGGGAGCAAGGTTCATAGAAGGGAGGTTTACAATGAGGTTAATCTAAAATAAATGTTTACATTATTTAGAAAAATTCCTTCCAGTGACTCTTTACAGTTCACTGAGTTTAGGCCTAGTGAAGACCCCTAATGCATCTGTCTGAGTGGTTAATTTTAGGCAGGGTTAGGATTAGATTAACCCTAACCTTTACCCTACCCCTAGATTRGAGAACATTTAAAYGGTTCTCTTGCAGGTTGAGTCACAATGAGTCAAAAGTCACAGACCACCCATTTATTTTAGAAACGAAAGGAAAAGAAAAATTCTTATGAAACACCAAACTATATTGCAAATCTGACTGAGGCAATTGATTTCTGAGACATTTCTGGTCTTCATTGTTACGCTAATTTGCCACTTTCCAATTGGGAAATTTTGATTTTTATCCAATRTGGTGGCTTCCAAGATGGTGACCATGTTCCGGTCATAGCCTAACCTAAAGGATAGGAAAGGGTGATTGCCTCACCCATTACTTGCTGAGATATTTCAGATATTTGATTTTCCTTTTCTTTSCAAAATAAAAGGGTGTCCTATATATTTTGACTCACCTGTTGTTTACTGGACCTGGGTGCTTTAACTTTCTCTATCTTCCTGTATGTTACCTTTCAACTATTCTGTGCTGCTGTAACTCATAAATTGTTTTTGGTACTCAGATGAAATTTGTGTCTGCTCYTGCAGGTTGGGGACACTCCACTCCATGTGGCAGCTGCCCTGAACCATAAGAAGACCGTACGTCTGCTGCTGGAAGCTGGAGCAGACACTCTGATCTGCAACAATGTGAGGACCAGCAGACTGTTTCTGTCATTATTTACCAACAAGCTGTCACATAAAAAGGAGTTTAACCATTGTTCCCAACACATCTGGATGTTGTCAAAACAGCTACAAACATTAACTGTTTAAGCACAACCAGAGAACGTGAACACAGCTTTAGAAATGGGTCGAAGGCGCTCCATCATCCAGTAGAGGATGGATGGATGGATGGATGGATTGATGGACCAATGGATGGATGAATGGATAGAGCAATGGATGGATGGATGAATGGACAGACAGACTGACGGATGAATCGATGGAAGGATGGATGAATCAATGGATGGATGGACGGACGGATGGATGAATTGATGGATGAATCAATGGATGGATGGATGAATCGATGGATGGATGGAAGGATGGATGAATCGATGGATGGATGGAAGGATGGATGAATTGATGGATGGATGGACGGATGGATGGATGAATTGATGGATGGATGAATCGATGGATGGATGGATGGATGGAAGGAAGGAAGGATGAATGGATGGATGGATGGAAGGATGGATGGATGGATGGATGAATGGATGAATCTATGGATGGATCGATGGATGGATGAATTGATGGATGGATGGATGAATCGATGGATGGATGGATGGACAGATGGATGGATGGACAGATGATGGATGAATCGATGGATGGATGGATGGATGGATGATGGATGGAAAGACAGAGGGATGGATGGATGAATTGATGGATGGATGAATGTATTGATGGATGGATGGACAGACAGAGGGATGGATGGCTGGATGGATGGCTGGATGGATGGATGGATGGATGGATGGATGGATGGATGAATTAATGGATGATGGATGGATGGATGGACAGAGAGAGGGATGGATGGATGGATGGATGGATGGATGGATGGATGGATGGATGGATGGACAGACGGAGGGATGGATGGATCAATGGATGGATGGATGATGGATGGATGAATGGATGGATGGATGATGGATGGATGAATGGATGGATGGATGGATGGACAGATGGATGGATGGATCGACGGATGGATGGATGGATCAATGGATGGATGGATGGATCAATGGATGGATGGATGGACAGATGGACGGATGGACAGATGGATGGATGGACAGATGGATGGACAGATGGACAGATGGATGGATGGACAGATGGATGGATGGATGGATGGATTGATGGATGGACAGATGGATGGATGGATGGTGGATGGATGGATGGATGGATGGATGGATGAATCAAAGGATGGATGGATGGACCAATGGATGGATGGATGGATGAATCAAAGGATGGATGGATGTTTTTGTTTTTTCTATTCTCAGTAAAGTTGTTTTCTTCAGTTGGTCTTTATTCTGCTGCTGTTTTCCATAAATGTCTTCAGGTCTGTAGTTTTTCAGACGTTTATAGATGCAGTTTGTTTTACAGGTGACCTCAGAGTCCAGGTCATTCAGACTAGTAAAGGTGCTTCTTTGAATTTAATCTGGTTTCCTTTGGTTTGAGATTCTGTAATCCAGGGCTCAAGAGAAATCTGAAACAGGTTTTGTGTTTTAAAAGCCATATTTTTGGCCAGAATGAA